AACCTGCTGGCCCCTCCCATCAGCCATGATCAGCCTGCATTGCATAAAGAAGCACGATTAGATATGTAATTAGAATGGAAAGGTTTTTCTTTACAAATTAGGGCAGGAAAAGCCAAAATAAAAGCAGATCAGAGTTCAGCTTAAATCTTTGCTCTCTTGAAGAGCTGTTATTGCATCGTAAGTATTTCTAGCCTACATATATGCTGCTCATATTCTGTTAGGAAGCTGGATATCGTCTCATCTTTAGTGTTGGAATGCTGTCTTTTTAAATAAATATATCAGTTTCCAGGATAACAAAAAAGGAATATTTTCCCCAAAGTAGGTCTGTTGAATCACACATGGCAGTTAGTGAAAGACAGTCAGTGGAAATTCAGAGATGAATTATGGATTCACTGATCAACATTCCTTTGTGTTGTCACCATTATCTTTGATCAGAGTAGCTGACAGTGTGTGATGACTGTGTCTGTTGCCATGCCAACTGTCAGTGTGTGATCTTAATTCACTGATTGCGTCTGTTTGATATTCGGTTGCTGCGTGCATGAAAAAAAGGGTTTATTTTTGTGACTATAGCAGCAATTGCCTTATGGCTGTCATTCATTGCAGGTTTAAAAAACCTTAAAAGGAATATGAGCTGCCATGACCAGCGTGAATGCTTTTCATACACAAGGATCTATCGCTTAGAAGCCATAGGCCATTAATAAAAATGAATAAGGTCCTCTGTTTTTACATCTTGATGACGGCATCGTGACGGCTAATGTAAATAAATCTGAGCACTGGTGAGAGAGAGAATAGCACAGCTACACATAATGAATGTTCTAATAAGAGCCACGGCACAGATTGTGGAATATCTCAGTATGAACTGCAGGCTGCAGCCCACGATTGGCTATTAGCACACAACCAAGTGTAAAGCCTCATGTCATTACAAAGAGCAAAAATAACAATGCAATACAGTCTATCTGTCTCTTGGGTTTGTGCTATAAATCCAGTCTGTCTTTTAAAGCCTCCAGTTTAAAGCTTAAGACTGGCGCCCGCAGCCTCTTACCTTTCCCACTCCGCTTGGGGGTCAGGGGCCCGCTGACGCCTTCACATACAATAGAGGGCCCACAGCTGTGCGTTATAGGTGAGGACACCGAGGGACAGTCCACAAGCTGGAGCGGAGGGAAGAGAGGTGAGTGAAGAGATCCAGGGGAGCAGGTATCAGGTAAGTAGAAGTCCTTTACACAGGTACTCTAGGCATAATCAAACAGTTAACGTTTGCAGGACATGAAGCCATGTACAGAAAGTCACAAAGTCTTGCTTAAAAGCCTCCATTAAAGTATAGGTGAATGCAATGTTATTAAAAGACATGGTACTAAAGGAGATGATATGTGATGCATTGTAGTATTTATAAAATCAACAATTATTACCTTTATTCTCTTGTCTTATATGGCAGTCATCACCGCACAGCCTTGCAATGTGAGCGTACAGCTTTCCTAGGACCTTATTTAGCAAAGCGGGGGGCATGTTAGTAAGTGGGTGGACTTTTGGGTTTTTTTGTGACATTGCACACACCAAAGTACTTTTAAAGATACAATACCCAGTTGCAAAATTCCTGGCCCTTAACTGTAAACATACCCATAGCATTTTGCAACTGGGTCTTGTATCTTTAATTTGCGAGAGAAATGAACACGTACAAACATTGGTATTAGGACAGATTACATCACCAGATATGCCATTTAAGCAGTTAATGATCCAGTTGGATGTTGATGGACACCAGAAGTGTTTCTTAAACCAAAACCCATCTACTGTGAGATTATGGCTCAGATAGCTTGCATCTAGTGAGTGGCATCATACCCTTTTAGGCCCCATCCACATTAGCATCGAAATGAGGAGCTTAGTGTGTGATTGTGACCTGTCCAGGGATCACTGTAGAAGATCCAGATGGCTCAATAAATAGAAGCACTCAGATGCCATCCATGTTCATTTATATTGCTCCCCTGAGCAAACCCGCCACCCAGGACATTGAATGCAGGAAGCAATGCCAGACCTTGCTAAAGGCACTGAATGTATGTCTGGTCTCGAGGCCTGAGTGTAAATAGCCCTGGGCTTATTAGAGTGAAGAGCAGGGATGTGACATTTTCCATAACAACGAGATTTCCAATGTTATCAGAGCAGCCAACTGGGCGAAAGATGGGCGCTGATAGATTGCTAGGTGTTTGTATACTTTGACGCCTGCCTTAAAGTGACACTAAACTCAGGAGTTAAACCCTAATAATACATTCAAGTACCCTATTAAAAAAATGGATCTTATTTATGTATCACTCAGCTGTAGATCCTCAAATGATCTCTGAATTGGTGCCGACACTGTCCTTCCTTCTGGAGGGTGGCTATTTTTTTTCCTCACGGTCCCTGTGTACGTTGTAAAGTAGCCACCTCTCCAAGCTCACTCCTGTGATGGACTACAATCTCATGTTTAGTTTATTCATTTGTATTGAGATTGTAGTCTATCACAGGAGTGAGCTTGGAGTGGTGGCTACTTTACAACACACAGAGAGACCATAGGGAACAAAAGTAGCCACCCTCCAGAAGAAAGGACTGTGCCAGCATGAATTCAGAGAGAATTTGAGGGTGTACAGGCGAGTGATACATAAATAAGGTACAGTTTTGTTAACAGTGTACTTGAACACATTTTTAAGGTTTAACTCCTGAGTTTAGTGTCACTTTAAGAAAAAGCTTGATATGTGTCTGATATTGGGCTAAGTTCACTAAGCTATAGCAATCAGGATCTGACGAAAAATGGGGAGGCCATTTAGCACAAAGTATTTAGGCATAGGGTACAACCCATGCCATGCCCCCAGTCCCAGATACATGGACCATGATGAATACGCAAACATGACTAGCTAAAACAGTGCATTTCCTCATCACTACTTTTCCTCTTTACTGGCTTTTAAAATTAAACAAAGGCAATAATTTAGAGGTTAGATGAAAGGTTCAGTATTGTATTTTTCACAGTTAAATAGTACACTTTTTAAAGAGGTCTATACATAAAAATGAGTGAGCACTAGGAAGGAAAGAGGGATAGAAGGATTTAGACAGTCCCTCTAAATGAGAGACAGTAAGGATCTGTATTTTCCATAACAACCATTATTTTCAGCTTCCCATACCTGACCTTACACAAAGATTATAACATCACATCCTATGTGCCATTGCTACCTCTCTTTATCCCATCCTCCATTCCTCATCTCACGTCATCAGTGCCTGACACGACTTTTTGTACTTCAATTCATTGTCGGTTTTGTGCACTTCATACGATATTAGATCATTTGACTTTACGTTGTGTGTTATGTGGTCACATGATCAGACCTCCCTCTGTACATGCTACATCTTCTGACTGTGTGCTGAATTTGGACATCACTGTAAGTGCTCTCTGTGCTTGATATAAAATCCAATTAATCACTGTACACCCTGATTCAGCCATATCCTCTCACATCTGTTGTGACTGACACAGTATCACATATTTTGACTGTCTGAATATCCTACAGCCACCCACGCTGTCTGATTAGTTAATCACTGGCTATTTCATGATTCCGGGGAAAAAAAACCCCACATCATCCCACTATGTTTAATCTGTGTACTGCTGACGTTTTTAGGCTTATTTAATAAATGCGCGCAAAGAGCAGTGATGATGTACAAAGTGCAATAACTTAGCAACCAGATTTGACCATCGGCCAGGTCAGAGCAGTAAGTAGCATTTAGCAGGCTTTCTAATTGGTTGCTACTAGTTATTCTTGCACTTGGCTCTGGGCCTTTTTTTAAACAAGCCTGATTATCTTTCAGTCGTGCACTCCATCTGATCTTACATCTTCAGACCTTCCACTGCATCTGAAATCATACCCTTGACCGTATGCTGCATTTGATCTCATATCCTGTGAAAGTGCACTTTGTCAAATGAAGACAGGGCCTGGTGGGACTTCAGGCTGCCAGTATTATGAACTGCAGATATTTCCCCGCAGCGGCCAATCACATTCGGACTTTCGGGGCAGGTCATAGTACTGACAGTCTGATGCACCAGGACCCTAATGACGGTGCACTGCAGTTCAGATGACATGGTCTGAGGCTGCACTGCACCTGAAATTGCATCAATGGGCTTATGTATTGAGTCAGTGCAAAGAGCAATGTCAATGTGGAAATGATAGTATGTGACAGCAACCAATCAGATTTTACCATACATCAGTTTAAAACTATTACAATTTAAACATCAACAGATGATTTGTAATTGGTTGCTGTGTGATACTGCACATTGCACATTGTCGTTTGCCTTATTAAGGGGTCAGCACACCTAAAACTGATACTTCAGTTATTAGAGGACCTTGGTGGTGGGAACATTAATTGGCTTCTTATAGCTTTTGGAGACTCCGATGTTGAGTTTTCACCACAGACCTGTGGAGCAGAGTCTCGATCCATGAGGTATATTTTTTCATAAGAAAGATTAATTCCAGATCCTATAGCCAAAGGGAGACCCCATAGCAGTTTAAGCAGAATGATCTCCTTGCCAGAGTCTTTAAGCAATATAAGAAGCTAGTGGGTATTTCAACTACCTAGCGTCCAGCTATAGCTGAAATGTCACTCTTGGGTGTGCCGACCCTTTACATAAGCTGGCTATGTGCACTACATCTCAGGTCATGTTGTCTGAGAGGGTGTTGCATCTCGGGCAATTTTAGTTTGAGTGTGAACTGCATCTAGTATCACATCCACTTATTGTGCACTGCATTTGATATCATTTTCTCCCACTGTGCACTGCACCAGAAAACCCCTCCACATTACACTGCGTCTGACATCTTCACCCTACCACGCACTGTACCTGAGACAAATTCTTTTCATTGGTGCACTGCTTCTTTTATCCTCCCATGATGCATTGCGTCTCATGTCTCCCCCCTTATGATGCACTGCTCCTGTCATCATCTCCCTTCCATTATGCGTTGGGTACAGGCTCATGGCGCCTACCTGTGTTTGCTCTGCAGACCATGCTGACTGCTATCTCAATGAGCGCCATCGCTACCAATGGAGTTGTGCCAGGTAGGGGGAATTTCAGAGATGGACAATACATGGGAGATGCAGTGCGTGGGAGGGATTGGGGTGGGGGTACACAGTACTGCTGGATGCAGAAGCAGTGTGTGTGGGGGTGTTGGAGACTTTATACCCGATGCAGACGCTTTGCATCAATCAGATTACGGCTACGTGCACACGGGCGCTTGTCCTGTGGTTCCCCTCTGATGGAGCATAGCGTCTACGCTCTGCCAACTTTTTACATTATGATGATTCTTTGGCATTGCATTTATCTTAAAAGTCAGTTACTCTATTTTTCTTGTCTGCTTAAGCTGGGTTTATTTCCACTGAATGGTGATAAAATATAACATAGCTGAGCTAGAGGGGAAGCACATGGCATAGGCCTATGTCCACAAGCGTTATCCATGACAACAGCGGTATAGCTGCTGATGAAGTTAAGTATTTGATAATTAAAAGAATTCACCACTTTAACCAAATGTGGACCCCTGCTTTAGATACCTCCACCCTAGTAACATGGAGGGGTCACTTTCTTCCTTGCCCAGTTTACATTCCCTTGGTGGAGTAAGTTTTGCCTTTCAGATATAATGCAGTTGTTATATATTTGAAAGGATGTGCCGCAATACAGTTTATCACCTGTAGTATTGCAGCAGGTAACAACTTAGGTCATAGCTCCTTGGATGTGTGGAAGGCAGGGATCCCTCTATATTGCTACATGGGGAGAGGCTCCCTAGTTATTATATTTAAAATTCAGGAAACCCTGTAAGATGTTTACAACATAATAGTGATTTTTGTAGCAGTATGTCTTAAGGTACTAGTGTAGAAAATGTTATTTTTATTATTATGTGTTATAATGTAGAATAGCGGTAGAAAATTCAGCACAGTAAAAGAGCCCTCATGCATTAAGCACAGCAGTACATAAGTGCAGTGCTATTGGAATGCAGTGCATTGATAATTACTACAGTGGTATGAGGTGTGGTGCAGTATTACATTGTACAGTATTAAACCAATGTTTTCCAGTATATGTACCTGAGACTCTTGTCTATCTGTAGCTGGAGGTTCATATTACATGATTTCTCGCTCGCTTGGCCCGGAGTTCGGAGGCGCTGTGGGTCTTTGCTTTTACCTGGGAACCACATTTGCTGGAGCCATGTACATCCTGGGGACGATTGAAATCCTTATAGTGAGTAACAGCTGAAAAGTTTTGACTATTCTCAGACATCTCCTGACTATTGAATATGTAAGTGGTTCCTGGCTCTCTCTACTTGGGCACATTTGGGTGATGTTTTGAAAAAACAAAGTGCCTGTGATAGGCCACTAGCACAGCAGATATGGCAAGGGTGGTTCAGCTCAGTGTTTAGTAATATTGGTTAATATTTTGAACCAATAATTTAGATACTGCAGGATCAGATTTACGGTCACAGCAAGGACTGGGACATAAACACAACTGTTGATGACTCCCTTTTGATAGGTATAACCCACAATGCAGTGTTGCACAAAACACTGAAAGTCTTGAATTATTTAGATTTGAAACATGGCACAGGGACTGGGTAGATGATCCTGACATAAAATGGCCTGATGCTTTTGGCAAGCACAACCTAAGTATGGCTTTCAAGGGTTTAAGGTTATGGGGTGGCTGAGGTTATGATTTGTTTTAGAGATAGGTCTAAAGCAACCCTGTCAGTCACCTAAAAGAATCCACATGCCAGTTCCCTGCAGTAGAAGAGATTATTTACTTAGCACTTGGTGACCCGTGTCTCTTACCTTCCCTCTGGAAGTGTCGGGTGCCTGGCGACCTGCCATACGCTGTACAGTAGTTCCATCCTCTGACCTACTATGTCACAGACTGGTACTGTAACAAGGTAGAGGTCCAGGAATTGCTGAATGCTGAAGAATCTAACAGCTGCAGTGCTGGAACAGAGCAATGGTAGGAAACACAAGCTGCTGGAGAGATATGTTTATTAGTTCTTCCATTTCAGGGAAATGGCATTAGAATATTTTTAGAGCCTGACAGGGTCACTTGTAAGTGAAATTGAAGTCCATGTTGTGTTGGGGCACTTGCCACACTGCAACCTATGTCTGGTCTTCTGGGTTTGGTGTCTTCTGCCATCTAGATTGTCTGGACAAAGGATGATGTACCCCCCTCAAGCACACAGTAGTTAATTCTTCCCAAAACCTAAGGCATGCCAGGATTATACATGAACAGAAAATTGCTAGCAGGTAAGTCAGAAGCTTTTATGGCAGAAGAGACATACAGAGTCTTTTCTGTAATATACGCTCGCTTGCTAGCAGATTTTTTAACAATAACTTAGTTCTGCTTGAACGGTAAGGGTTAGTTTTCAGGATGTGTTCTGGATGAGGCTAAGGGGGTGATTTACTAACCTAAACACACACACACACCAGGTGTGTGTGATTTTCACACAGCAAAATGTATTTATCAACCAAAAAGTCTCTAAAAGCATATTTCCACTAATGCCATATATGGAAAAATCATGCACATGATGCATTTATAATGCTGCTTCACAGTTTAGACAAAAATGGTTAGCTCATGCATTTACATTCCTGCATTCATCAACGCAAGCAACATAACATAGAGCTAATTTACACCACATTACCTTGCAATTCATTGCAGGGCTTTGCACAACACACCTGCTGGGTGTGTACACACTACAAAGGTGTTTCGATTCCTCCCATAGATCATGCTGGGAGGGAACACACTACAGAGGTGTATACACGTTCGTGGTGTGTTTAAAAGGTTAGTAAATCAACCCCTAAGTGGTAAAGGATATGTTTTGAATTGCTGAATGCTGAAGAATCTAACAGCTGCAGTGCTGGAACAGAGCAATGGTAGGAAACACAAGCTGCTGGAGAGATATGTTTATTAGTTCTTCCATTTCAGGGAAATGGCATTAGAATATTTTTAGAGCCTGACAGGGTCACTTGTAAGTGAAATTGAAGTCCATGTTGTGTTGGGGCACTTGCCACACTGCAACCTATGTCTGGTCTTCTGGGTTTGGTGTCTTCTGCCATCTAGATTGTCTGGACAAAGGATGATGTACCCCCCTCAAGCACACAGTAGTTAATTCTTCCCAAAACCTAAGGCATGCCAGGATTATACATGAACAGAAAATTGCTAGCAGGTAAGTCAGAAGCTTTTATGGCAGAAGAGACATACAGAGTCTTTTCTGTAATATACGCTCGCTTGCTAGCAGATTTTTTAACAATAACTTAGTTCTGCTTGAACGGTAAGGGTTAGTTTTCAGGATGTGTTCTGGATGAGGCTAAGGGGGTGATTTACTAACCTAAACACACACACACACCAGGTGTGTGTGATTTTCACACAGCAAAATGTATTTATCAACCAAAAAGTCTCTAAAAGCATATTTCCACTAATGCCATATATGGAAAAATCATGCACATGATGCATTTATAATGCTGCTTCACAGTTTAGACAAAAATGGTTAGCTCATGCATTTACATTCCTGCATTCATCAACGCAAGCAACATAACATAGAGCTAATTTACACCACATTACCTTGCAATTCATTGCAGGGCTTTGCACAACACACCTGCTGGGTGTGTACACACTACAAAGGTGTTTCGATTCCTCCCATAGATCATGCTGGGAGGGAACACACTACAGAGGTGTATACACGTTCGTGGTGTGTTTAAAAGGTTAGTAAATCAACCCCTAAGTGGTAAAGGATATGTTTGAGTTTTAGGGCTTAGTGAAGAGCCATACTAAGGGTCAGGTTAAGCTTAGTGGTCAGGGGGAGTGGAGGGACACCTTTTTTTTTTTACCATCCATTGTCCTTAACAAATAGGGGAAGACAGAGAGGGACAAATTGCTGCGCTATGCCCAAGTTCATTGTGGCCATCAAGGAGAAAAAAAAAGTTTCAGCTTTTTGACAATTCCAAATCTACAAAATACCACCAGTCATACAAAATATGTATTTCTACTTTAGATTCTCTCTACAATATTTATATATTGATGATAGCTAGCAGTGTCTTTGTAAATCTTATCAAACTTTCTCTTTTACTAGACGTATCTCTTTCCTGGTATGGCCATCTTTAAAGCTGAAGAAGCCAGTGAAGAAACCGCTGCCCTCCTGAATAACATGCGTGTATATGGCACATGTGTGCTCACCTGCATGGCCATTGTAGTCTTCGTGGGAGTGAAATATGTCAATAAATTTGCTCTTGTGTTCCTGGGTTGTGTGATCCTCTCCATCCTGTCAATCTACGCAGGGGTCATTAAGTCTGCCTTTGACCCACCAGACTTCCCGTAAGTTCATATTTTACTTTTCAGATGTGATTTCTAGACTCCAGCCTTTTGTTGAGAATAAGGTACCTTGGATAAAGAAAACCTGGAATAAAGGAAAGTATAAGCTTTTTCCACAGTTGTCAAACAAATTCCATGTTTCTCACAGTTTGAAAAATGCAGTGGAACTGTTAGTTGGTTACTAGAGGCGACATCTTCACATTTTAACAAAACCATTTTCAAATATGAGGCCTATTGTATCAACAAGAACCATGGTTCTCTAGCGTCTCAGCTGTCTTTTAGCTTTGTATCCATGTCATTGCTTTTCGGTCCACCTATAGGCACATTTTCTTTCCCTCACCGTCTTTTCCCATCCTAAGCCAAGCTTTGTTTAACCTACCAATAACCTTAAGCTCCATGTCCTCTGTTTATCCCCTGTGACATCATCATAGTGGCTGAAGATCTTCTCATGCAACAGACCAGTTCTGTTCTTAGTGTGAAAATCGTGTTCTGTTCTCATTGTGGTAGCCTAGTCTTGCTCTTATTGTGAAAACTCAGTCCACCTCTTATTGTGATAGCCTAGTCCTGCTCTCAGTGTGACAGACCAGTCCTGCTTGCAATGTTACATCCCAGTCCTGTATGCAGAATGACATCCTAGTTCTGCTCTCATAATGACATCCCAGTCCTGCTCTCAGTGTGACAGCCCAGTCCTGCTCTTAGTGTGACAGCCCAGTCCTGCTCTCATTGTGACAGCCTAGTCCTGCTCTCAGTGTGACAGCCTAGTCCTGCTCTCAGTGTGACAGCCTAGTCCTGCTCTCAGTGTGACAGCCTTGTCCTGCTCTCAGTGTGAAAGCCTAGTCCTGCCCCCAGTGTGACAGCCTAGTTTTGCTCTTATTGTGAAAACTCAGTCCACCTCTTATTGTGATAGCCTAGTCCTGCTCTCAGTGTGACAGACCAGTCCTGCTTGCAATGTTACATCCCAGTCCTGTATGCAGTATGACATCCCAGTCCTGCTCTCAGTGTGACATCCCAGTCCTGCTCTCAGTGTGACATCCCAGTCCTGCTCTCAGTGTGACAGCCCAGTCTTGCTCTCAGTGTGTAACGTACCTCGGCTCCGTGCCGCGTCACGTGTGCGTTCCAGCGTGGAACACACCAGACAGGGAAGCCGCCGAGGGTTCCCTCCCCCATTAGGGGAGGTACTATGCGCTCCACGCTGGAACGCGGAAGTGCGCCGCGGACGCATGACGTCACGGCCACGGCCTATTTAAACTGTCTATGAACGCTGCAGGGTGTTCACTATTGGGTTCGCAAGCCCAAAACCAACTCCAGGACCTCTTTGCTCCCAGGAAGCCTGCCTCCACTTACTCCAAGAGGACGAGCCCAGCACCCTGCAGACCAGTGCATAAAAGCGCAAGTATTTCTCAGTGCTCTCTGAGCCATCATATGGGACTTAGAGTTCGTCCTCTACTAGATTGGGAGTTGTGCATAACTTATGGACTGCCTATGTTATACTGCCTAGGGATCTGCATATGTAATATCTAGCCCGCTTAAACTTAGAGGTACTGTGAGATCCATAACCTGCGCTACATATCAAATATATATATATCCCGGTCTGAAGTTATATTGCGGTGACTAATTGCTCATTGGAACTAGGTACATTCCTTATACTTAGGAACCATCTGGCTTCCGTGGGGTTACGATCTAGTACCACCCACGCTACCTCTTTTTGAGTTCTTTAGTTAAACCGGCAGATGATGCAAGAACCCCAAACTCTCTGTCTTTGCAAGAGAGTGACGCCTGGGGTTCATTGACTGAGTGCCGCCCATTAGTCACACCTCTATCCCTTGAATCCGCAGTTGCGATCCAGACCAAGCTACTTGGAACCAGCGGCTGTGACACAGTGTGACAGCCCAGTAATGCCTGCAGTGTGAAAACCCAACCCTTCTCTTAGTGTGACAACCCAGTCCTATTCATAGAGGCAATTTATCAAAACTGGAGCAGACAAAAACTGGAGCAGCTGTGCATGGCAACCAATCAGCTTCTCTTTTTAATTTTCAAATCTTAACTGAACAGACTGAAGAGAGAAGCTGACTGGTTGCCATGTGCAAATGCTCCAGATTTAGTCTGCTCCAGTTTTGATAAATTCCCTTCTCAGTGTCACATCCCAGTCCTGTTTGCAGTGTAGTGAAATCTAAACTACTTTGTTCATATGAGATAACACATTAAATTACACTCTGGCTCTACCCATCTAGTTTAGTTTTCCATGGATAATCATTGCAACCCTAATGGTGGGCATCAGCTGTCATTTCTGCACTATGTGTTGGTCCTGCCACTGTACTGTAAACATGTAAACTTTTCAAAGAACAGTGAAAAAAATAATCTATATTAAAAATGTGAGTTAAAGGGTCAGTCCACTCAAAAGTGATATTTCAGCTGTTACTGGTAATATATCTGCAATGAGTTCCTGGGTCTGCACACCTGCTGTTTCCATAATGAGGAGTTTCAGCTCTCCCCGCTGGATTATTAATGAATTAATGTATTTATTTATTATTATACAGAATTTATACAGTGCTTTACGAAATTGAGGGAGACAATACAGTTAACAATATAATTTCAATACAGGAAGGTAGGAGGGCCCTGCTCGTGAGAGCTTACAATCTAGTAGGAGGGGCAGGTGATACAAAAGATAATTGTTTGGGATGATTTAATGGAAGAAACGATAGTTATATCGGGGAGGGACAGGCTTCCATGAAGAGTTGAGTTTTCAAGGATCGCCTAAAGGAGGACAGAGTAGGAGATAAGCGAGAAGATTGGACTAGGGAGTTCCAGAGGATGAGAGATACTCTGGAAAAATCCTGGAGGTGAGCATGCGAGGAGGTAACAAGATAGCTAGAGAGCAGGAGGTCTATAGGTATACACCTATAGCCAAAATATATAACTATTGAGTGAACAAACCCTTTAACTAATGCTTTCTTCCACACATTTGTACATACACGAAGCAGATGAAACAGGTGTGTAGGAAATCTTTACTCTGTAGTATATCTTTATTCTATTTTCACCTGGCAATCCTGCCAGGAAGAGACTTCTTGTCTTAAAGAAGAACTCCAGGCCAAACTTGTATTAACTTTTGCAGTGGGGCTACCCCCGCATTGCAAGGGTTAAATGTCTCTTCTTGTCTATGTGCTAGAAAAAAAGTTATACTCTCCTGAACCGCTGAGCAAGCTCCCTGCTTCTCCTGGCTCTGAAGCCTGTGTCCTCCTACGCTCCTTGGCGTAGGAGGCGCGCTCCCTAGGGCACCCCCCTATGTTCCTCGGCATCCTCAAGTCTATACACTGCGTATAAAAAGTGATGATTTACGGGACTTTAGACGGCTGCAGTGGAGAGGAAGCAAGGCTGGAATGACCGGTGTAAGAGCAAGCTGGCTCCGCAGTTCAGATGAGTTTAACTTTTTTTTTTTAATATATAAAAATATATTTCAAACCCTTTCAGTGGTATATTTCACAGTCCGAAAGGGAGCAAATACAAGAAGCTTATTGTTAGTGTTTATATACACTTTAACCATGGAGCCCTAAGTTATGTAATTCACCTTAATTGGAAAAGATATCACACTTTCTCCTTGTTTTTAGTTTTGTGGTTGTCTATCCATGAAGACAATCAGTTGAGTCAACCAGTAATAAAGATGATAAGGAAAAGAGACATTTTGACATCTTCTTTATAGAAAAAGCTGGCCAGGCAGGATTTGCTCTTCCTTCCAGAGATAGCTTGGCTAGAAACAAAGATGCCTGCAGTTGCTTGGAGAAACTGTTTAAATTAAAAGGGAAAAAAAAACCTGAGATTCTCACGCTTCCCATTCTGTAAGATATCAGTAACTATACCCAGAGGCAAATTGATTCTTGCTCTGTTCTTTAGAGCAGAGTGGCAGACTGCCACAAAGATCAAACTGGTTTTCTGTGCCCACAAGAAGCCATGCATTTCCCTGGGAGAGTATCACAACTTTTGTGCACAATTATGATTAAAGTAATTGGATTTGTTTGTAGTTTCTATTTTAAGGGAAGCAGATGTCTTCCTTGGTGCAAGGTCTGACATAATTACTTAATATATGCAAAAAATGTACTGAAGACGACACTATGTTTCAGGATATCGCCTGGAAACTGCACTGCTAAACAGTCTGCTGTTAACTCCTGGGTGGGAAAGTCAAGAGAGAAAGTAAAATGATCAAAGACGTAATAAAAGCATCATTCTCACAAGTGGAACTGGTTGCGTTTTATACGCCAGAATAAGACACATTTGTCTGGGGTATATATAGGTTGACTGTAATGAGATATTACACTGTCTGATCAAAATCACAATTTGAGTGTTAATAATTTATTTCTTACTCCATTGAGTGTATTAGTCTCTACACTCTCAGGGGAATATATAAATTATGTATGTAATGCCAGTTACTGTAGAGTCAACCTGCTTAGCTAAAATTCGACCTCTCATTAACAGATGCTTATTTAGTGAAGCAGTGGAAGGAGAGATTTTGTATTGCAATCCATATCATTCAACCATTGTTTATTGGTTTAGAGTAGTCAGAGCGATGAACACATACACTTTGCATTAATAAATGAAGGATTGTATGCTAGTAAAGAAGGATAGAGACTGTGCTTGCTTTAGATTTAGTTGCAAGGATTTTTGAAGTTAAAGAGACCCAGTCACCACCCCATACTGTGTAAGTTTTTTCTGTCATAAAAGCTTCTTTCTAGCTGTCAGCAATTTATTTTTTTGTGTACACTGAGCTGAGCAAGCACAGCTCAGTGCACAAACTTGGTCAGGGCCGTCCCTATAATTAGGCCTCAGGCAGCATCTCTTTGTGTCACGTGGAGGGATAAGGGCTATACACATCTCCTCGCCGAGCTCTTAGCAACCTGGGACGCTCTGGCCGGCATCCCGCTCAGCTCCTGGCAACTGATGACTTCAATGGTTGCCAGGAGCTAAGCAGGACGTTCTGGCTGCTGTCCTGCCCAGGAGCTAGGCGGGATGTTGGCCAGAGTGGGGCAGGGAGATGAGGCTGAGGCCGCCCATAACAAGGGGATCTTGTATTAAGAGTCCTTACAGAAACCCTGCCTACCGCAGTGATGTGCCCCAGATCAACATATAGATGTATTGTATTTCTACAGCAACATCAACACTTCTATGAGTGTTGGTAAGGCCCCTTTCACACAGGCGGTCCGATCGGGTCCACCTGTCAGTTTTTCAGGTGAACCCGATCGGATGCCCAATGTAAGTCTATGGGCAGCCATATGTAAATGGGAAAGGAAGGAAAAAGGGAAAAAAAACATGTGCAGTTCATCTTTTATTTCTATTTAAACAAAGATATCCCCTGCACACCATACAGCAATGGAGACCGTTTTTTAAGATAGTGATGGTGCTTTTAGTGATGTCCACGGATGGCGCCGTGCGTATCCAAGGTTATAATGATGAAGATCACCAGCACTCAAAGGATAAGATAACTCCAAGTATTCTTTTATTCAAAGATTGAATAAAAGGGACATGCGAAAACCTTGGCGATATAACTCTTGTGACATGCTTCTTTGAATAAAAGAATACTTGGATTTATATCATGATTTGAGTGCTGGTGATCTTCATCGGTATAACCTTATTTCTCTGTAAGACATCGCAAGTAGAGAAAAATACTTGTTGATCTGCCAGAAATCCACTCAGTTCTTAAGCCTTGTTGTGGGCTGACAACCGGACACACCTGTTGTGTCAGCTCTGCCCGTTGTCCTATGCTAAACTACTCAACCACTTCCACTCTCATATCTGTACAACATAAAGGCTAATTATTCTGTAGTCCATGACAAGAACTAAGAGGGCTAAATAAAATTTTTAAGATAACACAGGAAGTGTGTAGGGGACCCCTCTGAATTTCTGACAGCTAAAACAAAATGCTTTTAATGGTATATTTAAAAGATATTATATAAGGGATGATATAAGACAAGGTCATTGTTAGTGTAACTAATTGTCCTTAATGGGTTATTACACTCATCTAAAAGCAAACACAGAACCATGAATAAGTGTTTTTGTGGCAGTTTCCAGGTTATTATACTATTCCTTGCAGCTCCCTCAGGGGGATGGTTGGTGGTTTTCCCACAGGACGGATCAATGGGAAATTTCAACATGTATGGATAGCTTAACTCTCTTCCCTCGCTGTATTTGAGATCAGAATCCCAGTCTGTTTATATTCCTGTCCATTTAGGCACAGACAGGCCTGGACAGACATACCCAGCATATGTCTTTCAAATGTTGCCTCAGCAGTCCTGACCAGTGTGCAGCTTCTCTCTTTTCTGGACCTGAACACCTCTCCCTAATTAGACTTCTCCTATGGACTACCTGTTGTAAGCTAGCAGGCACACTTTTTCTGCCAAAACTGACCCACTGTTCACTTACCACATCTACCCTGGGACAGTCAGTGCTCCTGTCACACTCTATAGAAACTAATGAGTAAAAATTCAAGGAAGAATGAGCTGTGAAGACTATTGTCTCTGCCTTGAATTACCTTGTTGGGTGTACCCCCAACCAAATCCCACAAAAGCCAAATATGCATTGATTTGGATCTTGGTGTAGGTTTGTAACATTAGTAACAATTGTAACATTAGGTCAACTGGGCTCTCTAAAAGCCCATACCAATCTTGATTAGTTAGTGCAGCCTTTGCCAGGGGTACCTTCAAATTTTTGCACACGTGCATGTCACATGGCATGCATATCATGCATAATGGAGGCGACCCAGGCACCAGCACCATTGAAGTTAATGATGCTAATCCAGGGCGGGCTGCATCCAGGACCTTCCCCAGCATTAAGGCAGAAGGCGGTCTCCATCCAGACCGGCTCTACCTCCCACCCTCTGCCATGCTGCCACAGCCGAACTGTAGTGAAGATAAAAGGGGGGCTCTCAATGGAAAGGGGGCAGGTCTCCGATGCATCGGGTCCCCCCTTAAAATCCATACCAGACCTCTATCTAGGATAAGGGTCTGGCATAGATGTGGGGAGGAGTCACATGTACTGTCTGGGGTGCCTGGAGACTTCGCTTTCTTTTAAAGGGTGCCATTACTGAAAAAAGGTTGAGAAACCCTGAGTTTAGGGTTTGATTGCAATTGCATCTTAAGTGTATTGCAAAAAACACAATACGTTGGTTTTGCAGCTAGGATGCAGCTGTGAGCTGTTTATTGTAGTTTCATATCTTTGGTTACACAGCCTATGCTGTGAAATTGGTAATTTGTCAAAATCTGTTCCACCATTTTCTGCGTGTAGAAGTCTCTATTCTTAGAAATTGTATTTTGCAGACTTGCACCTGAAGTGATGACCCCACCTCTCAATATATGATATGAAAAGAAATATCTCATGCTTTGAATGATATTGTTCATTAACTCCTGATACTTTACTCTTGTGCTATGCATTATGTCCTACTAAATATGAGTTCTCATGTACATTTTCCAGAATCTGTATCCTTGGCAATCGCACTTTATCCAGGAAAGGTTTTGATGTCTGTGCTAAGTTTATTGACATCGGCAATGAGACAGTCACCAGCAAGTTGTGGGCTCTTTTCTGCTCCTCACCATTTTTGAATGCCACATGTGACATTTATTTCTCCCAAAACAACGTGACAGAGGTTCAGGGCATCCCAGGAGTTGCCAGTGGACTTATCCGAGGTAAACAGTTCACAAACTGGGGATGTCTAGAAATGTTAATGGCCAATAGTTTTTTGATCATCTCTATGAAAAAGGGATGCATAGCAAGAGAAAAAGGAATTTAAGGACCACTGTTGCTATTTTGTAGACTGTTTTTTTTTAAGTGGTTGGTTTGCATCTCTGCCGTATAACTGTGTAGACCAAGGTAGCCAAACTTCAGCCCTCCAGATGTAAACTACAAATCCCATGATGCATCTGCTTCTGGTAGGCATGCTTGTGTCTGTCTTGCAATGCCTTATGGAGGGCCGAAGTTGAGCTTCTCTTGATGTAGACTGTAGTGGGATGGCTGAATTTTCATTTGCACCTTCTTAAAAGCTATAGATTTCTGTAGACCATCACAGAACAAGAAAGTAAAATTGTAAGGTAATATAAAAAAATGGGATGGGCTGATTTTTTTTACATACAGTTCAAAAGCAAATGTACTGGAGCAAAAAAATAAATAAAATGGAAGGAGTTCAAATCAATCACAACTATTAGTTAAAATCTTTGTTTGTTTTTAAGCTCAACTCCACCAAAAAGATTAAAGAAAAACTGCGGGCAAATAAAAAAAACCCTTACCCTTAAAGTGGGGCTACCCTCGTACTGTGAGGGTTATATGCTCATTTTGATCTAGGGGCTAGAATGAAGCACATTTATTTACCTGAACCTGGCTTCCTCTGGGCTTCTAGACCCATCCCTGCAACCCCCTCTTCCCTGGGCTCCGGTGGTTGAAGGACCACTGACTTCACCAGGTCCGTTGATCTGCATTAGATATGAAAACTCCGAGGGACATTCCATAGCCGAAGCAGTGGGAAAGACAGGTGAGTGCTATTCACTGCGGGGAACGAGATCAGGTAAGTAAAACTGCTATATCTGAGTCCCCTAGACAAAACAAGCACTGAACCTTTGCAGTGCCGCGGTTGCCCCACTGCAAGCGTAAGTTTTGTATTTGCATTTAGGTTTTTAATAGAGCAAGGGAAGGTTTAGAGCCTCTGTCAACTTTTTATTACTACCTTGGTGCCCCCCAGTTTTGAGAGACAGCAGTAAAAACACATCTGGTATAACAAAGGTAGCCAAACTTCGGTGCTCCAGCTCTGGTGAATCATTACAAATCATAATGGGAAATGCATGAAGGGATATGTATAATGGCATTTGTAGTTTTACCACAGCTGGAGCGCCAATGTATGGCTACCCCTGTGATATAGGTGTGGAAGGTTTCAAGCTTTGCAAAGTTTTTTTTTAGCTGTCAGTGTTCCAATTAGGGAGAGTTATCCTTACCTTTGTCCATATGTTGGGTGTCACTCAAAACAGGAAGTGAGGCATAATCTTCTCTATAGGGACACAGACATTGAGACACTGCCTGCAACTTCCCCACAAGGTCACCGCTGCCGCCCCTCTGTGCTCTGCCGCCCCAAGGGCGGGCCTCGTGGGAAATCCGGGCCTGGATACGTTTCGAGTACCAATGCCACTGCAACTACCAGGGTTGCAGCGGTTGCAGCTGAGACCTGGCTCTGGTGCTCCACCACTGTCCTGAAATCATTACTCTATGTTGTTTTAGAAAAACTGTCACATGACAATAAACAAAAATGTATCAGTACTTGTGCTCAGTGGCGTCACAAGGGGGGTGCGGCCCGCACCTGGTGACACCAAAATGACTCACAGTCATTTTGGTGTCACCCCCCTCTGAAAAGTCGGCCGCTCGGTCATGGACCGAACGCCCGACAGTATCAGGAGAGAGGAGGGGACCCGGCGGCATACCTTATCTCGCCCGGGTGACTGTCCCCTCCTCTCTCTGCCGGCGTCCATCACCAAGATGGCCGCCCGCAGGTATCAGAATTGCAAAACTGGTATCGGTGCATTACTTATATATATTTATAAAAACTAAATCGTACATTAAAATAGAGATGTACAAATCCCAGGAGCTCCGTGCGCTCCTTACAAATGACAGCTGCCTCCTAACTTTTTATTTTTTCTCTAGTCTTGGAGCTCGAAAATGATCTGTACTTGTACTTGTACCGAGTACGTTACTTGGTATCGGTGCATCCCTAGCCCTAACCCTTCCCTGTTCAAAAACTGTAAAAAAAAAAAGTTGCAGTTGAAGGCTGTAAATCAGACATGAAAAGATGGGAAAGGAACTTTAATGTGGAAATACAAAATTGGATACTATTTTCTTATATGCATGATATGATCCTGAAGATATTACTGTGAAAAGAAAAAATAGGTATACATTATATTATATGAAGTTTTTACATTTTAATATATAATTTCTTTCAACCTTCCCTTTTTTTACTCTGTAGAGAATGTGTGGTCAACGTATTTGCCGAAGGACTTAATTGTGGAGAAAGCTGGAATGCACTCGGTTTTCTCTGGAGATCCGGTTAACCTGGACCAGCCATATGTATTTAGTGACATGACGACTTACTTCACCCTTCTTGTGGGAATCTATTTTCCATCTGTCACCGGTAATTACTTCTTTTTTTTTACCCTTTTGTGATTAGAGGCCATTGATGCCTAGATGATTGGAGCAAATTTCCAAATTTAGCAGGGTCAGCATGTGTCGGTTAACGTAACGCGGAATGAAGCCCCCTTATGCTTTACAACTGTAAACTGCGCCATATTAGCCTCTATTTAGATCTGCAGTTGCTGTGATTGCCTATGACTATTTGAGGGCTTGAAAATTTGGTTGAGAGCCAACATTAGCATACTGCCAACTGTGTCAGTTATCATTAGTGGCATGCCTTGAATGTAACTGTTTTGGGAAACTGTTAAATCAGTGGGTTCAGTTCCAGTTTAGCAACAGCTCTATGACTCATTTTCATACATGTTGTTAAGAACATGTAAGGCTTTTTTTTTGGTAAGCTGCGTTAATAAAAAAAAAATAATCCTGCTCGGTTTTTATTATAGGCTGACAAATGCGCAACTGTTAAAATGTTTTTTTTCTATAATAATAGGAAATGATGTATTTGTATTTATAAATATATTTATATTTATTATTTTTTATTAAAAAAATGCAACTGATTCTGACAGTTACACTTTAAATAGATGGCACCGCAGCCTAAAGGTGGCAGTCTCCATCTGCAGGCTGAAGGCTTTCATTTATTTAATTGGAACCTCCTGCCTGCATGTCATCACTATTTCAAAGCTGAAATAGTGGTCACATGAATGCGAACCGGTCTAATTAGTTCCCGATCGTCAATGTGGACCCTGACCGCATCTGTGTCATGTGTCAGCTGTTTGCTCTTATAGCGAAAGTAAAGGCACATTTAAAAAATTAAATTAAAAGACAACCCATAATGTGCTAATATGCACCAATGGTCAGCATTGTATTGCTCTCTGTGACACCGCTGGTGAGTTTCATTATAAGTATTGGTCCTGGTGACCATGTCTCCAGCACAGAAGTGAGGTGAGGGGAAATCTTTCAAAGGGGACACCTCTTTTTCTGGTGACAACTGCTTTGGGCTCGATTCAAACATTTACATTTTGCTTGATGCATTTTTCATTAACATCAATGGAAATGCATGAAAATGCTGTCAATGTGTGTGTTGAAATGCACATCAGCACACATCATGACATGCATCAATGCATCCTGATGCAATTTGAAGTTGTTATGTCATGCGTTGACATTTAATACAAAGTGCATCACAACATACATTAATAATTCACAATGCACGCTTAGGAATGTCAACATGCTTTTCCATTGCTTTCTATAGATAATGCATTAGGTATAAAACTCATGTGGTGTGAATGGACCCTTAGTCCCTTACTTTGAAGAGATCTCCTTTAACTTCCTGCTATATCTCTGGGCTAGGAAGTGAAGGGAAATCTCCCTGACATAAGACAGACAGCAAAAAGCAAAAGAAAACCTGACAGGGGCCTTAACTATTCTTTGCTCTACCCAAAACTAAAAAAAAAATATTTTGGCTTTTCATACCCTTTAAATGTTACTCCAAAAGAGCCGCTACAAAAATGAGGCTCTCCTATCACTGTGTGCAGTGACACAGACCGCTGCATTGTTCCGCTGCCCCTGTACCTCTGCTGCTTCCCTGGTCCGTTGGCTTCTCCGTTCCCCCGTCCGGCCGCGGCACCTTTGCCCTGCCCCCTGCATCCTCTTCATTGCAGGCTGGGAGCCATACCCAGCCTGCTATTCGATATTTTAAAATGCAATAGCCAATAGCAAGCTGGCTATTGCACCCGCCCACTCATCTATGCACAGGGACTGTGCTGGGCCCACCCAGGCTGAGGCACCGGCTGCAGTTCCACCATTGTATAACCCCCCCACACACACACACTCTTTATACATGGCACCCCTTTACCCTAAGGAGAACTATGGGGAAAAGCCTTAACCCCATAGTTCTCCTTTAATACCAAACCTGCACTGTCCTTTTGTAATAGACAATGCATATACATCTGCTTCCACATTCACAGCTGTGTGTAAGGTTGTCACACTTGAATATAAATGTAGCGATGTGACACTTATGTAACTTTTGCTGTGTCACCTTTTGTTCTTTGTTAGTCACTGTTATAGGTTACAATGGAGGTGCCAAAATGACAGTTCATCGTTTTCCTGCAGTTACTGAAGTCATCTGTGTTTTTAAATATATTGCTTCCCAGTACATTGCCTTCGACTGGCCATCTCCTGTTCAGATAATCTGATGAATCTATTATATAGCAATTGTAATAGAATTCTTATTTTAAACATGATTACATAAAGCAGTTTAAGAAAAATGAATCACATTCCAGCCTCTGCTATAACCTTATTTCCTTTTTTAAGGTAAAAATGTCAGTATCAACTGGAATGTGTAAGACCCCTCTAAAGTACAACTGTACTGTAGGTTACCATCAGTGAGCATGTATTTGAGATATTATTGCATTTGGAGCTTGAAGTAATTTTTTATAAAACCTTCACAATTTTACAAGCTTGCCCTTCCATGTTATTGCACTTAATGTCAAAATACTGTTTGTAGATTAGCCACTAAAACAGGGGTGGGCAACTCTGGCCCTCCAGCTGTGCTTTACCTACAAATCCCATCATGCATCTGCCACTGGGAGTCATGCCTGTTGCTGTCAGAGTCTTGCGGGGACTTGTAGTTTCACAACAGCTGGAGGGGCGGAGTTGCCCACCTCTGGACTAGAGGGAGGCCTTCTCCCTGGCTCAGTACAATTCCTATTTTGCTCTCTCTGAACAACTGTTAAAGAAGAACTCCAGGCAGTTAAAAACGGAATCCTTGCAATGGAACTACCCCCGCACTGCAAGTGTTAAATGCTCGTTTTGGTCTAGGGTGTAAAATAAAAAAGATATACTCACCTTAACCTCGGTCCCACCTGGCTACTAGACCGGTCCCTCCAGCCTCTTCTTCCCTGGGCTCTGGCGGTCTAAGCCCCGCTTATGTCATCACAAGTAATACAAGTCTATTTGCTTGTATTATACGCGGGGACGCCGAGGGGCTCACAGCCGGAGTGAAGTGGGAGAGAGCTGAGTGGTCACTGCCGCAGGACCCAGGTTCGGGTGACTATATCTTCTTTATTTTACACCCTAGACCAAAACAAGTACTTAATCCATGCAGTGCGTGGGTAGGCCCACTGCAAGGGTTAAGTTTTTACCTGGCCAAAGTTCTTTTTTAAGATATCAGCCACACCAAGAGCCCATTGTTTTCAGTAAATTGGCAGTCTTACAGACTAAAGCTTGGCCCAGTGGGAGATTCCTCCATTCACACAGTGTAGAGTAGATGGAGAAATCTGTTGCACTTTTTCCATCTGACCATAGAAAATGTGCAGGTAATCTATTTGTGTATGGCCAGCTTTACATTGAGGGAAGAAGCAGTAGAACTCAACCATTGTGTAGCAATGCAAAACAGGAAACAGAGCCTGTGTATGTAATGAGAAAATATGGCTGCCCCTGGGTACTTATATAATTATACAGTTGTAATGAAAATTGTTCAACCCCCATTGCAAATCAGGGTTACTGGAAACATCTGCATTGAAATAGGTCAACGCAATGAATGTTTTATGTGGTTTCCCCAAATGTGTGCTCACAAGAACACACATATGCAGAACAGGTCTTGTCTCAAGCACACCTGATACAAGTAATCAAGGGCTTCATTAGTTGTTCCAGGTGTGCTTGAGCTAGAACACATGAAATATCTGAACTGGCTAGGGGTTTGTTGAGTGTCACGTTTGACTGCATGTTAGAAATATGACTAAGTCAAAAGAATGGTCAAAAAAACATTCAAACAAGGAACAAGACGACAAAAGATAGCAAAGGCACTGAATGTTCCTAGAGATGCCATTGGAAGCTTAGTTCAAAGTCAAGGGAACAGTGGTTACGCTACCAAATGTTTCACTGAAACTGCCAAAAAACAAATCTGTCTCTGGTTTATAAGCGCTTTCTGGCTTTTATCACAAACCTAGCACATCAGGCTTCTCGTCTCTTGTTAGTAGTTAGGCAAAATATTGCACCAATATTGAAGGTGGTAATTTTCCTTACGTGAAACAAAAAGGAAAAAGCTGCATCCTTACATCCTGTTCACACTCGTCTTCCCCGTCCTACAACCAGCTTCCTCTAGGATGGGTTGTAGGATGGGGATGAAGAGTGAGAGTGTGACCAGGAAGCTAAACTCACTAAGATCTTAAAAATGCATTCAAGTACTGGCACCGTCCTTCCTTCTGGTGGGGGGGGGGGGCTACTTATGTTCCCCATGGTCCATGTGTTTGTTGTAAAGTAGTCACCGCCAAGCTCACTCCTGTGATGGACTACAATGTCATGTTTAGTGCTCATTCACACGGGAATCGGCCGGCATGTACAGCTCCCGGGAAAGACAGGTGCTGCACGTGATTAGTAGGCAGCCCCTGTCCTTCTCTAAGGAAATACGCGGCCATACGCTGCCCTACGCTCACCTGGCCTGCACGTCCGTGCGGGTGAGCGTACTCGTACGCTGACAGGATGGATCCTGTCTGTGTACGAGCCGGGACACACGCACCCGTACAGACTTGCATTTGAGGTGAACGTAGGGGGGCGTATAGCCACGTAGTCCCATAGAGAAGGACAGGGGCTGCGTACTAATCACGTGCAGCACCTGTCTTTCCCGGGAGCTGCCCGATACGGCCGTGCACGCAGCTGTACGTGCCGGCCGATTCCCGTGTGAATGAGCCCTTAGTTTACTAATTTGTATTGAGATTTTATTCTATCACAGGAGTGAGCTTGGAGCGGTGGCTACCTTAGAACACACACAAAGACCACGAGGAACAAAAGTAGCCCCCCCTCCAGAAGGAAGGACAGTGTCAGCACCAAATCAGTGATGATTTGAGGATCTACAGCCAGTGATACACAGATAAGATACATTCTTGTTAATAGTTAAGGTTCTTGAATGCATTTTTAAGAGTCCCTGTTTAGTGTCCCTTTAACATACCAAAATGGAGCAAATAAAGGAAGATCTTCATGAGGACTTGCATTACTTTCGAGGTAGGAAGTCAGCTGCGAGTTTGAAGTTATATACCATCTTCATTCTAAATACTTCCAGCCCTAGTCATGTTCTGAGACTTCTACATATTTATCCATGAATGTTATTGAGCCTCTTTTACATAAACCTTTTTATGACAATTATGTCATTTAGGTTAAAAGAGGTTTACAGTTTAGTGGATAAGTTGTTGTAACTGATTACCACCTCTTCTGACATTTCTTCCTGTGTGTTTGACTTATCAAGGAGATACAATCTCCGTTCTCGTCTTCATTACACTCAGCAGCTTGCGGTTTGCGTCGACCCCACCTGCCTTGCGTTTGATTAGGAGAGAAGTATCTGTAGGAGGATGTAATTTGAGCATGAGAATATTCCGCCTGACAATATTTTTTTAATCACTTTTCACAGTTTGAGTTAATTGAGCTTTAATGAGAACCCATGTTATCACTTCTGCCTGGTGATTTAATAAGCAAATTCTTTGAAAGCAAGCACCTCTAGTTCGGCTACAGAAATAGTGCGCTTTATCAGTCGCTGCAAATATTATTCACCAGCAAAGAACGTCTCCTTCAACATGGCTGTGACCGAAGGCAGGCAAGTAGGCTTCATAACAAAGAGCAGAAACGCCTACCCACCTTCGGCTAAATTAAGGCTCAACTGGGGTGAAATATGAGTGAATGCGTGAAAGGCGGGGTGTGAGTAAATCATGCAAATTGCATGTAACTTTATACAACAACCTTCTTGCTGAAAGTCACGTTTTTCTGCAACTGTTGTCTATGCAATTCTTATTTTTTCCTTTTTCATTACAGGGATTATGGCTGGTTCAAACAGGTCCGGAGATCTCCGTGACGCCCAAAAGTCCATCCCTATAGGAACTATTATGGCTATTGCTACCACATCTTTTGTGTGTATCCTTTTATGATGGCGGTCGTCAGTTGCAGATTAAATTAAGGGCAGAATGAGTGGCTGCCAGGGGCCCCAGATTCCCGGAGGGGTGGGCGGGGCGCACAGAGATACTGAAAAATGTCTGCATTTCGGTGCTTTTAATGCATAAGTCATTTTCAGCTTTGCAAGTCTCTAGACTTTTTTCAGATGATGATCAACAATGGATCATGTTCCTCTCAGTAAAGGTTTGCTTTATATGTATCAATTGGAAACAGAGAAGACAGATTTGTAGGTCAAAAAGAACAAAAGCCTCTCAATTAAGGCCGGTACACACCAGCTACGGTGCGTTTCAGCACGATTTGCTGCTGGAACACATCCTGGACAGCTTCCTGCGTTCAGGGGCGGGAGGGGGCGTGACGGTGCGTTGAAGTAAATGGCACCGCAGCCATGCCCCCTCTCGACTTTGGGTGACCGGATATACTCCTGTAACCAAAAACAGTAGTAGAAGGTTTGGCTTTACTTCTCTTTTAAAAAACAAACATCCTATGCTAAACACGGGGCCCTCTGTATGTTTAAAGTTATCAAACCTACAAAAAGAGGGACACAGGTCCACTACTCTTTTGGTAATATATTATTTTCTAATGATTGAGGTCATGCCCATTTTGTTCTTTATTCTCATATAGTTCTTACTATGTCATACGTGCCCTTGAATGTCATACGTCTCTTTGAATGGCACCTCCAACACTTCCTTCTCAAAGCACATGCAGTGTGGCCATGCACTGCACTGCCAAATATGCTGCATGCACATTTTTTGGGCTGCCTTAACACAAGGCATGTTAACTTGCGCTGTAACATGCTATGTGTGCTAATGCAGCACAACAGTGTAGAGGGCACTTTAGGGGCCGCTAATTGCAGTATTCAACCCATATAAATCAGATTTCTTACTTATTTGCAAAGGTCAACTCTGCCCTGCTGCAAAAAACTGACCCTATTTCTCCTCATAACTCATGCAGCTTTAGGTACAGATTTAAATACAGATTCAAATACAACACCACATGCTATGGAAATACTTATGAAAACCAGAGTGTAACATTCACAAACACATTTAAAACGATGTAACTTTCTCCTTTACTGCTGTACAGATATTTCCTCTGTTATTCTGTTTGGCGCATGTATTGAAGGGGTTGTCTTAAGAGACAAGTAAGTATTCCAAAACTTTATTCATGTCTATTAATTACAGGTGCACCGAAATGGAAATTTCAAAACCGAAACAAAACTGAAATAAAAAAAAATTGTCAGACCGAAACCGAAAGGGGGAGGGCTGTGGAAATTAAGGATTCATTTCTCGCTTCATCGTTAAACTTTTTGATCGTTTAAAATTATTTTGATCGCTAATGAAAACACTCACCTCTCCGCCGGCTTCCGGGAGTCCCGTCGGCGATCCGGTGACGCCACGGACATCGACGTCACCGTACTCCCTCCCCTTCCCCAAGTGGCTCCGTCAGCTAACGGAGGGAAGGGGGGAGGAGTCCGGTGACGTCGATGTCCGTGACGTCACCGGACTCCTCCCCCCTTCGTTAGCCTGACTGAGCCACTTGGGCCGGTGAGTTTTCCCAAGAAACTTTCTGCACGAGCGCCAGCCAAGGCATTGGCCTATACACATACAGCACAGCAATGAAGTCACAAAATGAACTAGGATCACACTAATCCAGCACGTTATTATTCTGAGTTCCCCTACTCAAGCTGCGGTCATATTGAGTGGGGCACATGAGATTAATAACGTGCTGGATTAGTGTGATCCTAGTTCATTTTATTACTTCATTTCTGTGCTGTATGTGTATAGGCCAATGCAGTTGGATCTGTATGTGCGTTATAATTAATTGAAATTAATCGATTAAAAAACATTTCGATTAATCAAACACGAAAATTTTAATCATTACCAGCCCTAATTTTTTTATAAACTTTTTAATTTTTTAATATTCATTTTTATTAAATATTTTTATTTTTTTACTTTACAGTTAGGGGCTTCGGGGGAAATATTGGGGGTCTAAACAGACCCCTGATATTTCCCTTTTAAAGTAGAAAAAGAGATTGAGGACACAGAGTCTTCTATCTCTTTTTCTGTATCCCCTGTTATCAATGAACAGGAATCCTCTATACTGAGTGTTCCTGTTCATTCATAACTTGAGAACAGAGTATGTATACTAAAACTACAACTATGAATGAACAGGAGGTGATGTAGATAACTTCCCATTCATAATTGAGGATATAGTAAACATACTATGTTCTCAATTATTCACAAACGCTCAGCGAGTGTTTGTAACCGCTCTCCTCTCTGACAGCTGTCACAGGAGACTGATCGAGCTGTGCAGGGAGGAGAGCTCAGCCTCCTGTGACAGCGCGGGCTGTCTCCACCTACATACGGCCCTGCCGGACTGTGATAGGAGGCTGATCGGTGTGGGAAGAGAGACGCCGGCCACTCACAGCGCTCTCCTCCCGCAGCTCTCGGCCGGCTCTCACACTTTCTCTCCTGTGTCCCAGCGGGGAATAAAGAAAGCAGGGATGAGCCGCTGTATCGGCAGAAAAATTGCACTTTCGGCATTTAGCCAAAAGTGCCATTTTCTCCCGATGTTTCGGCGGTCGATATATCAGTGCATCCCTAATATTAATATATATTTAGTATATATGAAATATATTAGGAATAAATTAGCAAATGAAATTATTAACTATATATAAGCTATATATACAGTGAACTTCCAGCTATGGACCATGAAGAATTGTTAGCAAGCAGCAAATGAGCCTTCACTGATCTCTGCAGCTGCAGGCTGTATAAAGCAATTCATCTTCAAAGTCCATAACAGAAGCACTAACATTCTTCAAGTCAGGTCTCAGCATTCTGCTCGTCCCTGTCCCTGTACACGTGCTCTGTGTTTACATTAGAGATGAGAAGTCTACCAAATTAGTGCTGGGAGGGGAAGCAAGGGAGGCTGAACTGGTAAAAGTGCTTCTCCTGTAAATATTGAGGATGCATTTCACCTCAGTGCCTTCAGATACAGAGGTCAGGGAGGTAATGTGTTAAAGCTCATTTGCTGCTTGATAAGAAAATGTAAATACAGTGGTACCTTGGTTCACGAACTTAATTCGTTCCACGATTCTGATCGCGAACCGAATCAAACTGTGATTAGACCACAATATCGACTAGAGGAAGCCACGGCCATGTGTCAGAGCAGGGAAGATGGCTGTGGTTGTGTTCGTCACCCGATGCGAAGTTCGCGAACAGAAGCAAAATGTTGCCAAACTTGCTGTTCGCGAACCGAATTGTTCGAGAACAGAAGCGTTCGTGAACTGAGGTACCACTGTACTTGAATGTCCATAGCGTGACCAGAGTTGCACTTTAAAGTAGAACTATGGCCTCCCTTGAAAAAAAAAAATGTGCTGCAGCACTTAATTATAGGTGCATCTGGATTTTCAGTTTTCTCTTAGTCCCCCTGCAAAATCCCACAAATGCCTGGTGATCCTGCTAATGCAGCTTTCTGTGATGGTGTGGCAAGGATGTTGCACTGCTCCTGAATTCAGAGCAGATCTGCTCCTGTCATGTAGGCTGTGCCGGCTTGTACTACAGTGAGATTAGAAAATGAGCTGCAGTGACTGGGAGGGGGAGCGTGAGACACGAAAAAGAAGCATTTGGCTCAGTCAGGGAAGGTAAAGGAAGTTTTTTGTATTCTTTAGGAGGATTTTGCATCACATGGTAATTGGATTCAAGACGTGTTTGGACTGCCATATAGGGACATCCGTTTTATGGCATTCCTGCCACTAGATGGAGCACAGGAGATGCTCAGCTCCATCGAGGGGTGGGAATGCTGTGAGAATGGCATTCAGCTAGCATATGGCTGTGGGAAGTTTTATAAACTAGCCCTAGGTGTTCTTTAAAATATAATTTTATTAGCCCTGAGTAACGTAAACATCTTTATTTCTTTTGATAGACTGTGCAAATATAATTCCATACATGCACATTAGGGTTAATTTACTAAAGGCAAATAGGCTGTTCACTTTGCAAAGGAAATTTCCCTTAGCTGTGTAAAAAGGGCAAAGCTCTGCTGACTTTACATTTTGATTGGGTATTCTGTGCAAAGTGAATTTTCACCACATTCACTAAGCGAATTAAACTTCCCATGGAAAGTGAAAATTAATTTTGCAAAGTGAACATGCTGTACTGACTTAATTATTCAACCAATCAACCTATAAACGGATCTGCTAAGGCAAAATTTCTGCACTTTCCAGTTTAGGGGCAAATTCTCCTAAAATATTGCTACAACCACCACTCCCCAAACTAAAAACACTTGGGCGGAGTCATCTGCAGAGCAGATGACTGGAAAAGCATATTATCTGTGTGTTATACATGGAATGTATTACCATAGGGATGCACAGATACCGGTTTTTCGGTATCGAGTTCCGATATTTCTTTCCGGTACCGAAAGCCAATACCAGAAGTCCCATTAAGGAAGCAAGACGGCATGTAATAACTCGCCACCTGGCTTCCTGATTAGTCTGGAAGCCGGGCGGTGTGTAAAGTCTCACCACCTGCCTTCCCGATTAGCAGGGAATCCGTCTGCATGCTTCCTCATCGCCAGGTGACGAGAAAGCATAGAACTGGCTTTCTGGCCAATCTGGAAGCTGGGCACAGTGTAATGACGCAGGCCCCAGCTTCCTGATTGGCCGGGAAGACGGCTCCATGCTGCCTCGTCACAAGTAATTAGGAAGCTGGGCTAGCTGCCCGGCTTCCTGATACCAGAAGCTCAAGTATCGGGCCGGGCATATCGGTATCAGAGCATCTCTATATTACCATGTAGCAACATAGTTATATTGATCACTGTAGCAAGCTGTGACATTGATTCCTGGGCTATAAGAGCGCCCTCACTGGCCCCTAATATAGTCTTATTGGACAGGGGAAAGATAGCAGAGTTTAGTTATGGCATCAGCCTTGGAACACTAAATCAGAGAGGGTCACAGATGTTTTTCAGGGTAAATAGGTAATAGCATACATCTTGTGATGTGTGCTCTGTGGCAAGAACTTAAATTGAACTGTTAAAAATGGAGTACAGGTTCACATTACATAGATAAAAGATGGAATGACATCACATCTTACTTTCACTGCTGATATTCTGTTTCTCTTTAGTTCTCTGGATATTTGCAAACATATCTTAACTTTCTGATTTTCTAAATTTTATACTCAATTTCACTCTGACTTTCTCTTGCAGGTTTGGAGAAGCTGTGAATGGGAATTTAGTGGTGGGAACACTGTCCTGGCCATCACCTTGGGTCATTGTGATTGGGTCATTCTTCTCTACATGTGGAGCTGGTTTACAGAGCTTAACAGGAGCACCAAGACTTTTGCAGGCCATAGCTCGAGATGGAATTGTGCCTTTCCTCAGAGTAAGTCACAGATAGCCAACAAGAAGACAAAAAGCTGACTGGTGATAAAAAATAAATGTATGCTCATAACAGTCAGATTGTTCAGGGGAAAAATACCTGTAGGCAGCAAACATGTAATATTGTAAGCTTGTTAAATATATATATATATATTTCTAATTCAATACATTTTTATTAACAAGTTATAAAACAAGTACAGAAATAAACAAAGTTGATTATTAAATATATTTTAAAACATTTACTAGATTAAAACACAGATAATATTACATTATTAATTAGTATTACTAAGCTGAATTCCATGAGTTTGGGATGGTCAGTATTTTTAAAATATTATTTTAAATGTAAGGCTTTAGATGTCTCCCTAGCAAAATGGGAGAAACATTCTTTCCCAGTGGGGGTATATATTCCAGCTGGTCCTGACGATACTTACATTTCAAACTATTATCCAATGCTACAAAATATCTTGAAATCCTTGGATTCTCATGATCGCCTTTTTCATTCATGGTTTGGGAGAACATTAGTTTTTAACATGGACATACTTCAGAGACTTCTTTATTTGTTCCAAACTGTACCAGCGTACATTCCCGGGTCTTACTTTCAACAGGTGTGCGCAGCTTTGTTTAAATAGATCTGGGATAAATGTGGTTCTAGGCTAAGGTATGACATTTTAATTAGACGTAAGAGGGATGGAGGTATAGGTCTTGGGTACTTAGAACCTTATTATGAGGCCAGTCTTCTCACCCACAAACTAGTTAATTATTATAAAGGACATAAACCTATACCTGTGCATTTAGCTGTTTGTCTGGAGTTCAGCTTTAATAAAAATGATGGAAAAGGTAAACTAATAAACCCAGATGTTCATATTGATTTACGAAGTAAACAGTTTAGGATGGTTTAGATGCATATTAGATACATCTGTAGTGTGTCATACTTGTGGGTCTTTTAATAAACTATTTCACACTAGATTCATACATCTTTCTAATGGGATTCCATTAGACAAATGGGTGAATTCTGAGTGAAAGTTATACAAAAACCTTTATAGTAAAAGTTGTGTGAATCTTGTGTGAAAACATTTTTAAATAGATCCCTTAATGTCTGTACTTAATTCCGTTATAAACCTTAATATAGTAAGAGACATGTTTTTCCCTTCTATGTAAACAGGTTTTTGGCCATGGCAAGGCTAATGGAGAACCAACGTGGGCCCTGTTGCTGACCGCTTGCATCTGCGAAATTGGCATCCTCATTGCCTCACTGGATGAAGTTGCACCTATTCTTTCCATGTATGTCTCCTATATCTTTGGTCTCAGTGTTTGCCTTTCTCCTTTTTTTCCATACTTACTTAACTTATCTTGGATACGTCTTTAACATTTCCTTTCCTCTAATTTTCTAGCTTCTGTCTCTTTTTCTTCTTTTCTATAACTACAGGTTTTTCTTGATGTGTTACATGTTTGTTAACTTGGCCTGTGCAGTTCAGACATTGCTCAGGACTCCGAATTGGAGGCCTCGCTTCAAATATTATCACTGGTGAGTGAAGGCCAACTGTACTGAATTAGAGACCTCCACACCCAACTGTCCATAATAATGGCTATCTGAAGCCTGTTTTCTTACTTCAAAGTGTTTTTCTCACATTTTTTAAGAATAAAGGATGTTCTCTTGAGCTTTGGACTAAGTTTCCAAAATATTACAAATATGTTCTGTGCCTTTCTCTTTTACAGGACCTTATCTTTCCTTGGTATGAGTCTTTGCCTTTCTCTTATGTTTATCTGCTCTTGGTATTATGCTCTTGTAGCTATGTTGGTCGCTGGTCTTATCTACAAGTACATTGAGTACCGAGGGTGAGTAAATTGAAACCAGTTGCACATATACACATATAATTTTAACTTTGAAGCAGTTTTGCAAAATAACCTAAAATAAAAGCATGTTCAACTATTGGGAATTAAAAAACTTGGCATGAATTAAATTAGACTCCCACCCAGAAAAAAACTCAGTTGATTTATTTATATACAGGTTTACTCTATTTTTGTTAGATTTTTGCCACCTGCATATCTGTTATTAGCTTGCAAACATTTGTGACAAGTTAATTACAATGGTTGCAGCATTTTTTGCACTTCAAACAAGAATATACAGTATTTTAGATGCAACTAGAAAGGTGTTAAAATCTGGAGTATAGCAACATCTGACTCAATGCACCAATATTCCAACACAGGTACATTCTAGAAGAACTGTGTAAAGCCTTCCAACATCCTCACTAACTTTCATTAACGTTTCTTTTAAATGGAGCCCAATGCGAACACATCTTGGTAACACAAAAAGCTCATCCATCTTTTTGTTTAATGGTGAAATAGTATGTGTCTCTTCAGCAGAGGAAGGCAACAAAAATATTTTACTTGATATTTGTGTGTGCAGGGCTGAGAAGGAGTGGGGAGATGGAATTCGTGGCCTGTCCCTTAGTGCTGCGCGATATGCTCTTCTAAGGTTGGAAGAGGGTCCTCCACACACCAAAAATTGGAGGTATGTGTAGGAAGCCTACCTATCATGATACTTTTCTGTAAATAATCCTACAAAAAAAAAAAAAAAAAAAGACACTTAGGTTGAATTTTAATAGCTGATTTTCTTCTTCTTTGTAGACCTCAGTTGCTTGTGCTGGTCCGAGTGGATCAGGACCAAAATGTTGTTCACCCTCAGCTTCTCTCTTTGACCAATCAGCTAAAAGCTGGCAAAGGTCTGACCATTGTGGGCTCAGTGTTAGAAGGAACCTATTTGGAGAATCATCCGCAGGCTCAGCGTGCTGAAGAAGTAAGGAGCATTTAATGTTATACAATATATACTCTAGCCACAACTTCTTTTTGTGTTTTGGATTAGAACATCAGTAAGGTGGGAAATGCTGTCTGTGGTGTGTCCAAGTTGTAAGATATCTTTCTTCTTTTCATGTTCTGTCTGATGTCTGTCCCCTGGACAAGAAGTTTGAACAAAATCCCCCATATGGTGACACAAACAGCAATAAAATCCTATGAAAGGTTTTAAACCTTGCTCACGCTGCTAGGAAGTATGTTTCCCCCCCCCCCCCCCCCCCCATGCCCCACTGTGGGGGCTCTCGTCTCC